ATAGTTGATCCACCATAACCTTTTCCTCCATCTTCAACCTTTCAACACTACTCTAGATAGTTGACACATAGCAACTATCACCTGACATCCCCCTTTACTATACCTTCCTATAGTGCTATATGACCTTAGATGTCTAGCACATTTATTTTAACCATTGACCATAATATTAGTTACATCAGATGTAAAAACAAACCTAATACTTTGCTCTGATATTGATTTTTGACGAGATAACATGTGATAACATGGTCTTCAAGAAGTTACCAGTGCTCTGACCACTGGTAAAATTTACCATGGTAACTCCAATGGTAAGTTGTTAGTAAATACCACCGCTGTCTGGTTACCATGGTAACTATAGTTAACAGTGATTTTACCATTGTAAGTGCGTTAGTGAATCCGGGACCTGTAAGGCTGGTCTGGTGGCCAAATGACTAGCACCATTCCAGTCACTTTTCCTGCCTTACTCTATTGGCAGTTTCCTTGGCATCCACGACAGCTTCCCTCAAGAGGGCTTGGTTGTCGGGAGTTCTTTGCCGTCGGAAGGTTTTTGATCTCGTCATTATAGTACCAAGCGTCTTTGTGAGTTCTGGACCACGGACGAGCTTTAGGGATGGTTTGTGATGCTACCTGATTTATGGCCTGGACTAGTCTTGCCTTGAGCATGTCCACATTTTCATTGTTTTGAGGTTCATTGTCTCTCAGACAGCGGGCCAAGCCTTTCTGGAAGGCTTGCTAGTTGACCTTGTCTGTTTTCCATTTGGGAATGTGTTATGGTCTCTGGGCTGGACCATCATCCACGAGGGTAGTGACTGTGCCATACTGATCGCTTATAACCATTTCATTGACACGCCATCGAATTCTTTCCACCATTGTTGCAGTGGCAAAGGTAAGGTCCAAAACTCCTCCCTTCACATGTGTTAGTTCTTGGGTGTTGAGAAGAGCGATCTCTGTGATATGAATGCCTGCGGCATTAGGCCTTTTGCGGGGATTCAGCAGGGATAGGTGTGTATTGAAGTCTCCCCCTATGATCACTTGGTCTTGTGCTGCAGTGGCAAAGACCTGGTTTAAATTTGAGCTATCGCACAGTGGTTTACTATATACATTGTACAGTTTCAGAAGGCCCCCAGGCAGGTGAATCTCAACAGCAAGAGATTCAACGCCATCACAGTGCGGCGCATTGGCTATTAAGGAGCATGGAATTGCCTCTTTGACCAGGGTCATCAGGCCTCTAGCACCATCCACGTTTGGAGTGGTGAAGACATGATATCCTGAGAAGCGAACAGTACCCATAGTTAATGTTTCCTGGAACATGACGATGTTAGTGCTCCTTGCTCGCACTATTGATTGGAGAAAGGAGCTTTTATTTATTTTTATTTTTTTTTTAATTAAAGCTACAGATGTTTCACTGAAGAATGCCTAGTTGTGTGCTATGATGGTTAATTAGTGTCACTTACATCATACTCGTCTCCATCCTCAGAAGCCCCAGTGCAGGTAGCATCTGACATGTATAGATCCTCGTTGATTGAGGATCGTACATCTTCTCCCAAGTGGAGTGGTATTCTGGTTAAGGGTCTACCGGGAGATGTAGAGCCTAGATTAGAAGTACCACCTCGAGTCAAAAGACCAGACCTTGGCTGTGCAGACTCGGCCTGTAGTGAGGGCATCTGCTGCACAGTTACAGTCTGGTCTGATAAACTAGCTGGGGTTTGACTTGTGTCTCCCGAAGCTTGCCATTAGAATTTTTTTGTGGTGGTAACAGGGAGGGGAGCGTGGCTCTGTCTTGGTTTGGAGGCTTCCAGCTTCCTCCCCTTCAAGGCTGTAACAGTCTGGGTCATTGCCGTCATGGCAACCTGGACTGCCTTCTCCGCCTCCTCACTGGACCCCCCCAAGGCTGTTGCTACTGCAGGAACCAGAGCACTCAACTGGAGAGTCATATACTTCTCATCTACTGGGGAGGACTTTGCTGTGGTCTTTGAACCTTTTTTCCTTTGGTTCTTTTTGCGACCACTGACAAGCCTGGGAAATTCCTCTGGAAGGGAAGTATCCGGCTTTGGCTGGGGAAGTGTCTCCTTCCTCTTCGGAGGTCGGGGAGTCTTTTCCCTTTTGTTCTGTCCCCAGCCGTAGGTGCCTGGGGGCCCAGGAACAAAGTCAGGACGTTTTTTGGCTTGCTCCTGCCTTTTGTGGACTGCCTTTTTCCTGGCAGAGCAAGCCAGGCTCCAGGCATGATACCTCTTGGCACAGTTGGGACATTTGGCGATTGTGTCCCTCTGGCCATCTTTGTGCCTTGATGCACACTTCTGTTTCATCTACCTTACTGCACACACCACATTTGGCTTTGGCCTTGCAAATAGCCTTGTGGTGCCCAAACTTTTGGCACGAGAAACACTTCAAGGAGTCTGGCACATATGTCCCGTGCTTGTACGGCCCTAGTTACCCATATCAAAGGTGGTGATTGGGTACCCTTTGATGGTGACCAATACTTGCCTGGTTGGGGACCTCGATTCTATCTTCGGGAAACAGTATAAGAGAGTGAAGGGTGGCCGGCATATGGAAGGAAGCGGAGGGTGTGGGAAGTGAAGAGACTGTCGGCAGGAGAAGAACCGCTGTTAAGGTTGAAATTGGGCAGCTGCTTGATCGGGGAAGATTCCACCAGTCTGCGAGTATAGACATCTGCTTTCCAATCCATCTGATGGTGTGTCCCACTGATGGCAGAAGAGGGCGTTATTGTTGTGTCCCCTGGATACAGCACATTTATATTGAGACATACGCTTAGTAAGACTGGCGCCTATTTCACCAAAATACTACTAATCACAGGAGGCACAAGGAAGAGCAAAAAATGTTCACCAGGCGGAAGGCGAGTTTGCAGTCGAGAGGCTGCAGGAGAGAGTAGATATCAGCGTAGGGCAGGCTGACGACAGGCAGGTGAGGGGTCTCGATGCTGAGGGCGCAAAGGAACAGGGAGGTGGCAACTCCTCTCTTCACATGAAGTGGATGGTACAAGAAGTGTATATACATATCACTGTGCATAGGTTACTTGTATATAGAGAAGGAGAAGTGGTCAGCAGAGTGATGGACAAGACCGTCCAAGAAGGGGAGCTTGTTGCCAGCTTCCCATTCCACCTTGAAACGGATGGAAGGAGAGAGAGTTCAGCTGTGTCAGAAATTCAGGAAACCGGGCAGGGTCATGAGAGCAAAGATGTCGTCGACATGTCAGCCGCACAGAAGGACGAGTGGAGAACTCCATGAACAGGTTAGCCAGAACTGGGGGAGAGAGGAGAGCCCTTGGCAACACCGAACGTTTGTGAGTGGAAGCGACCCTCAAAGGAAAAGGAATTCGACTCCACACACACAGACGAATCAGATAGAGTAAGACATTGGTGGGAAGAGGAAGACGAGGATTCTCGGCAGGAAGCTTCCTCTGAAGGAAAGCGAGGACGTCAAC